AATAGTGCTGAAAATGTCAACTGTTTGAACAGACAATAGTTAAGTTGACCAAAAAAGGTACCCATGAAACTGCAAAATACTGATTGTTTTATGGAGAGAGTCATCATCATCATCATCATTTAGCCTATATTTGTCCACTACTGAATGTAGGTCTTCCGTAAAATTTTCCACCTATTATCTAGCTTGAGCTTCTTGCATCCAGTTTGTGGTGATGCACTTGATATCATCATCCATCTGGTTAGTGGTCATCCTCTGCTTCGAATACTCTTGCCTTGAGCCATTCCAGTATCTTCTGGTCATCTATCATCCATTAATCTGGCACATGTTAGCCCAAGCCATTTAGCCATGGCTATTTTTCATGCATCTGTGACTCCTGTTCTTCTAGCTTCTCTTCTGTGTAATTCTTATTTTATCTATTGTTCTTTTTGTCAGAGTAAGTGTTTCTGCACCATAATTAAGAACGGTAAACCACTGGTTAAAACCTTTCTTTTTGAATAAACTGGGATAATAGACTTGGAAATGTTATTCAATCTACCAAAGGCAGCCAATGTGAGACCTATCCTTTTTTGTATTTCAGTAGTCTGATTATCTCGGCCTAGGCGAATCTCATGCCCTAGATATTTCTAAGCTATTACTTGGTCGTTGCTATGGCTCTCAATCAGAATTTTACCGCTGACTATAAGTTTGGTCGTAAATTTTGACGTCATCGAGGTGTTAATTTTAAGACCAATTGTTTTTGACACTTTAAGGAGCGTGTGCAGCATTTTTGTAACTTTATCAACTCTATCAGATATTAAAATGATGTCATCAGCAAATCTTAGGTGGTTCAGATCTTCCCCATTTATATTAATTCTCATATTATCCTCTCGTTCCATTTGCTTGAACATATATTGAAGAACAGCTGTAAACAATTTAGGGGAGATAGTATCACCCTGTCGAATTCCACTTTCTATTCGAAACTTCTTGATATCTTTATGAAGGCAGACACAAGCTGTATCAGTTTCTTGTTATACTCTGGAGAGAGTAGTCATTTATGTTGCAGGATCTTCCCAGAAACTGAGGTTGGGAATACAATTGAGTTGACTCTACTGAATAGACTTGCATAGATTCTTTTCAACTTTATCGTGTGTTCAGTACTTTATTTGTCATCCAAGAATATTACACCAATAAAAGAAAATACAGAAAAATACGTTTTTTTAAATAGAGCTGCAAGATAAAATCAAACTAGGTACAATCAAATCATGACACTACATTTTAATTCAAAAATATGGAAATTCAACTTATTCTACTATACCTTAATTTAAATATTCAAAAATGTGTCTAAAATTAGGGATGTAATTTTAAAACTCACCTTTTATCAATAAACAATATAATGTATGCATTAATTAGTGTGCTTATCAACACATGCAATACATGAAAACCGGATACAATAACAGCAATTGAAAATCCAACGGCTGCTCCAATTAACTTCTTATTATCTACATTGTTAATTGTTCGATAATAAAAACCAAATCCCATTTGAAAAAATATGAGACATAAGTAAATTATATCGTCAGTATTCATTTTGGTTTATTTTTACTGATCTGATTAACTTTATGTAATCATTAGTAGGCCGAATAGAAACAACTTATACACACGCTACAATCACAATCCGTTTTGTATTGTACCGTGAGCTTGAAGCGTGAAGGGTTCAAAGTTTCGCCAATTAACTTTGTTTATATAAATTAAAGTTAAATTATTTTGCATTTGCATAAGCTTCTGTCTTCCACTATAGTGTGTTTCAGCCAATAATAAACGTATATTTGTTGGATACATTTTATTTTATTTAAATATTTAGTTGCTCACTTTTGTTAAATTGAAAGAAATTTTAAAACTGATTTATTTTATTAACTATTAACCTTATATTTGCTTATATCAAAGAATATAGACGCATATGCGTCTAAAATTTAAAATTCGGGTAATCGGCGGCAATCGCATTCAAATACTACAATATCATAGACGGAGGTGGTTACTAACTTCGTAGGGATCAAATGTTTTTTATTTTTTTTAAACTGATCAAGAGGAATAAATAAATTAATAATTTGACTGATATAATATGATAATATTAGAAATTGCTTTTAGATTTCTTCTTTATTGTCTTATTGTCCAAGTGCTGCAATATTATATAATTAATAAATACGCAGAAAAATTTAAAAATAATTAATTGATCAGATTGTTGATTAAGGATCAACTTTAACTCCTCGCTGGCTATCCAGTGACTTGGGTGGAGACCCAGATATCTAAAGTCAGCTGAAGTAGTCATCTGGATGCTGGAAAACTAAGCTCTAGCGTCCGATAACACCGTGACAGGCTGTTGCATGTATGAAGAAACATTACTACTAAAGTCCCTCTCACGCCGGTGATGAAACAACGTGTACAAAACGATTGAAGACTATGCCGCAACGTGAAGACTATGTTGTGGATCTAAGCAGTAGGTTAGTCTCTACTCTGTGGACTCTGGGTATCAAGGTTTTAACAGCCTTCTCCCGACATGCGGAGCTCTGCTGGAATGTGATCATACATTCGCTAGTTCTTCATGGGATAAGAATAAGCCAAGAGCAAGCAAACAAAGCAATCGAGGAAAAGGAACAACGCAAGTTTAGTCATCCTAAATGATAGAACTCCTTTTTGTTACAGGTCATATTTGTAGTATTTGTACTGATGCAGATGACATAGTGAAAAATAGTCCAGCGTGTGAATATAAACGGCACCGCGAGGAAAAGGTTAAAGTATCTGTTGAAGCAAGATTTTGATTCAAAAGAAGATCTAAAGCTGATGATAAAGCCAATGTAAAGGCTACAATAAATGAAAAGGGATGAAAAGAAATACCAAGTATTCAAGAGGTTCCTTCTAACAAAAACATTCCACGAATTACGCCAAAATAAAATTAATAGGAACAATTTATTGTTGTTAACACTAATCAGTACATAAACGTAGTAACGTAATTGGCCAGAGACCAGTAGAAGTTGATTGTAGAGTGTACGTATCTTTGAAAAGCTACTACGAGTTTTTACATGTATTAAATAGCAATTACATCTTTTTAGTTCGTTATTTTAAGATCCATATTATGGATATTGATTTTAGTTTGCACCTGCTATCTATTATACAGGCATAATTAAAATTGTTCCAAATTTAAATAGAGTTGACAGTCAACTATAGTTCCCTTTGAGAATTAAAAAAAATTTAATTTACTTTACTTTAACAAACCCTTTTAAAGATTATACATTCCCGCCTATGATGTTTACAAAATACCATTTGCTACAAACTTCATACTCACTCTATCTCTCTTACATATAGAAAAAGAAGTAGAGAATTTAGGTTAAAGCACTTAAAGTTTAGGTCTACTGTCAAAAAAAGTAAAAAGTTTATTTTTTACTTAAGAGCAATTATTATAAAAAGTTTTTTACATGTAAGACCGTTTTGATCCATTTCCATGCCGCACAATGGGTTCAAAAGATAAAAGTATTGGAGAAACCCTTAAAAATATATTTAAACGAAATAAGGGCGCTTTAGGTAAGAGAAAATATTTTCTAATAAATTAACAAATATTATTACACTTTTAAAAACTTACAGGCAGTTTTGGAAGTCGCAGCGAAGTTTTGATTATAAATGACGAATTACTTAAAGATTTAGGTAAAGATTCTCCTATAAATACAAGATTGAGGATACTAAAAGAGTACAGTACAAGGGTAGCTGAAAACAAATTAGAAAATGTGAGTATAGGTCAATTAATTTCCCACGTGTTTTATTTTTTTTATGCTCCGTATAAGAGCAAAGCACTGTCTAAAGGAAGTCAAATAGCAAGTTATTATGGTAGACCTACAAGTTCTCTGTGTCAGGTGGTTAATATCTTTTTTTTTGTAGTTACTAATCATTGATTTATTTATCTTATATTTCTTAATAGTGTTTTTTTTATCAGAATATATGTGGATGATTTTCAATAACATCTTTATCACACATCATAATTATTTCTTTAATAATAGTATTTATTGTGCTTTGCTACATCTGTCTCAATATACTATTACTTCACTTATTCAATTTGGTTTTTTATAATAAATATGCAGGATGCCACTAAAAGAACATGCAGTTTATATTCAAAACCTACAAGGTACATTTGTAGTGCAGTAAAAAATAATTATACTGTATACCCAATCCCACAAGCTCTGCTTGAATACTGTTCTTTATTTAAGTACTCCTGCTGCTAACATGAGAAGGTTTTTAGTGCCCTAGATATTAACCAATTGTGCCAATGAGGAAATGGAATTTTATTCAAAAATGTTGGTTTTAGTTAGTAGTAATATCTTAAAGTATCTATGTGATATTTTGGCCAAAATGAACTTGTTTCTCCCAATCTCTTAGAAGTATTTTGACTGCCTTCAGTTTGAATGTACCCACTGACGTACTGTACAAACTGCACCACACGAGGTCCTGGTTTTAAAATATTTTTACCATGCATTTACGAGTTACATGTCTCTTACAGTTTTCTACCTAAGGCCTGAAATATTTGGTTCTTTAGAACTGCCAATAGATGGATCTGTATGTCCTAAACTAGATTAATTACTATTTAACTGGGAATAAGCCACAATTAAAGATAAAAATATGTTTATTGACGTTTCAATTTCCACTTCGGAAATTGTTCTCAAAATACAAACAGTAAATTTATTCCCAGTTAAATAGTAATTAATTTAAAATGCCACAAGAAAAGAGCTTCAGAACAATACTAAACTAGATTATATGACAAAACAGATTTTAATAAAAATGTCACTTTGAACTACTTTGAGGTACTGTCTTTGAACCCTCGATATTTGAAAAGAGAAGTGGAGTAGGGACTTGTTGTTTATACAAAAAGTATATTCTTAAACAATAACATATTCCCTTTTGCATTATATTTTACTAATTAATTAAAGATTCTCACATTTTTTATTAACATGATTTATTGTGAATTATTTTAGACTGCAGTAGAAAAACTATGGAGCGCCATCGAAGATCTGTTCAGTTCAGAATATTCAACAGAAGTGCGTCATTTAGCATTTCATTTCCTGCAATGCCTTTTAAGAGGTCAACTAAATTTAAATGATTTAAATGAAATTATGAGAGCCATATTTTTTCATTTTATTACACAACATAATCATCCTGAAGATATTATTCAACGGTTTGACTTACTGAATATTCTTACACAAAATGGCATAAGTCTGTTGCATTTCGAAGAAAAAGTTGGCAGATTTTTATTAAACTGGTTGCCAGATATTTCTCAGGCGGGAAAGATAGAGGAGTACTTGACGATGCTGGATAATTTAGTGAGATACAATGCTGCCTATTTGGATGATGAAGTTATTTCAGGTTTTATACAGTATGTATTTTACATCAATAATACTTAAATGCTTTATTTGATTAAGCTTAAATTATAAAATTAACAATTTTTTCTCATATTGGATGTAGATGTAGAACAGGGAACCAAAATCATCAAGTAACAACTGAGAAAATCAACAAATTTGATTGTCATCAGTTAGAATCGATTATTTTGAACAATGGTTATTTTAAGATATTAAGATAGGTAATTTATACTTTTGTTATCTGAAAGTTGTTTAAAAAATCATTGTCATCAGTCGTTTTGAGTTCACTACTGGACATGGCCTCCCGTAAATAATTTCAATGCATTCTATCTTGAGCATCATGAATCCAGTTGTGGCTGAATGCGCTTGATGTCATCTGACCACCTTGTTGGAGGATGTCCTCGATTACGACAAGCTTCGTGTCTAGGCCTCTATTCCAGAATTTTCTTCATCCACCTTCCATCTTTTAATCTGGAACATGCCCCGCCCAGTTCCATTTCGACGTTGTAATCCTTTGAACTGCATCAGTAATACCAGTTTTTCTCCTAACTGTTGTATTTGATACTCTGTCTCTGAGGGATATATTCAGCATTGACCTCTCTATCGCTCTCTGTGCCACTTGTATTTTATTGATTACTTTTCTGGTAATGGTCAATGTTTCTGCTCCATACGTTAGAACTGGGAATACACATTGATCAAAGACCTTCATTTTCAAGCACATGGGAATATCTGATCTAAAGACTTCTCTCAGTTTTCTGTAAGCCACCCATGCCAGTCCTATTCTCCTGTTTAGCTCTGTTTCGTTAAGTTGTTCAATATCGGTTTCATCTTGCACGTCATTCTGAAGGTTTCTATCTATTTCTTCCTGGTATGCCCTTGTGTTAGTAATCTCAGTGAATCGTAACATTTTTAGTCCTTGTTACCATATTTCTTCGTTCCTTCTTTATGTTTAAGACTACCTTCGCTCTAACCATTCTATGGTCATTTCGTTGAAAATTAATTTAATACAGTTACGTCTTGAACAGCGTCTTTTTTGTTAATAAAGATAAAGTCTTTACTAACAAAAAGGTTTAAAAAATATCATTCATAAAATAAATATGCTACTTGGTTCCTTTTTAAAAAATTAAATTTCAAATTTTTTATACAATTTTAAAAAGAACCAGTCACTTGGTTCCATGTATAAATAGGAATATTTTTTTTATAAAGAAACATAAAATATTTCTATTGATAAAGTAGCAACGAGTGGGTTTCAGGGAACACAAGAAAATGTGTTCTCAATCGAGAAGGCACTTAGGGAGGAGAAAAGATTAAGAATCAATAACATGCTTTTTCTTTATGGATATATATCTATATTTATATACACACAGTAACACTTATTTGAATCAACACAGTTCAACTTTGGTGTTGCTGCTTAAAGCCATTTAATATCAAAATTATGCAAATTGTACTAAAAAATGGAAAATCGAATCGTAAAAAATCTTAGTGGAATAATATTTTGTCCAAACAATAAAATAAAACAGTTAACATCCAGGTACCTAGAGGTATCTTAATCTTCAAATTATAGAAAAATAACTGGTTAACAATCTATATAAATCTCATTTTTTTAGGCACATCTGTGTTTTGTGCTGTAGCTCCAGTTCCAAGACAGTGCAATCGTGTTTGCAAATTATGTCATCAATAGTAGCATACAGTAACATGCCGCCTGAATCTCTACCAAAATTTATTGGAGCTCTTTGTAGAACTGTTAATGTTGAAGAGTATTGTATGCTAAGCTGGACGGTAAGATATGAATTAGTAAATTAGATAAATAAGAAATATAAAAATGACATTTACATTGACTAGTAGAACTCATTAGTAAATACAGTTTTAATATGTTTATGTAGAATTGTATGAAACAGTTGTTATTCGCTTTTATGAAACAGTAATAGATAAAGAAACAAAAATCAGAAAAATATCAAATTAGAAAAGTCTATGGACAAACCATTAAGAGGCAAATAGTGATGAGTCGTTCATGAACCACCTGGATTAAAAATTAGGATCTTTACACTGACCTGACAGTGATCTTGTTTTCTGTTTTATATAAAACAGAATTAATCACCTTATATAAAAGGTGTTTAATTAGCGTGATATAGTTCAGTAAATCCATTATAATAAAAATGATACTTTTTATATTAAAAAAAAAATAACTGTAGGGAACTTCAGGGTTTACATTCTAAACATAGCTACCATGTTACATGATATTTTGTAACGTAATGCCAGATAAAGTTTATATTTTTTAAAATGAAGGATCTACTTCAGTCTTATTGAATACTCAAAAGCACTGCATCTTTATTTATTTATTTAATACACGGGATAACCCCATCAATAATTTAAATTACAATATACAATATCACAGTTAGGACACAGAATAATAAACAATCAGAATGCCCACTCTCAGATATCGCCTTTGAAGTTTGTCAGAACGCGAACTAGAGACCGACCGAATGTGATTTTTTTGGCCGAAGCCGAAGCCGATGCCGAAGTTCGGCCTGAAGGATACCTTCGGCCGAAGCCGAAGCCGAAGGTGACTAAAAATATACCTATTACCTATTATATGTTAATAATTTAAATAATGTGCATTATATTTTTATTAACTGATAAGGTGATAAGTGATAAACAAAAATATAAAATTATGAGATAAAAAAGTCAAATATTTATACATTATTTGGTAATAGAAGCGATAATAAAAATAAATAACATTAAAAAACATTAAAGGAAGTGAGTATTTATGATTACTGGATCTGGTAGTAAATATTCGAAATCAAACATCCTAATATTATACGTAAGAAAAAGAAGCTTGTCGGCGTTTTCTCCCAACAAATTAGTTCTTCTGTCAGCGTATAGTTGCCCAGCAGAGCTGAATAACTGCTCACTAGGTACACTCGTTGGTGGTGCCGATAGAAATTTTTTGGCTGCAGTTTTTAAAGAAATATAGGGACTTGATTCCCAATAATGAAATATGTCGGCACTTCTTAAAAGCAAAGCCTCTCGTAAATACGAATCTAGGTAATCTGCATTGGGATCGTTGTCGTTATGAATTTCTTTTGTTGTATCTAGAACGGACTGTCACAAAAGTATCATGTGAATTCCAAAGACTATTGTTTTCTAGATCTTCTACATGTGTAGTTGTAGATGATGATGTTGAAGCGATAGCCATAGGAACTTTATTTGTATAAATAAACTTAGAGCTATCAGATTCACGTAGAAATTTTAAAATTCTTGCTTTACATGTAATTACTTCCTCGTCTGTCAAATATTTTGATTTAAAGCGAGGATCTAGAAGAGTCGCAATTGACAATTCTGGCAAATTTGTAATATTAGCGAATCTTTTAATTAATGATTCACGAAGTCGTAGCTTTAATAAACTTATCTCCTCAGAGTCCTGCTCTTTCGCAGAAACTTTACCATTTAGCATTTTTATTAGTGGGATAACCAATGATACACAAGCAGAATCGGCTGAAAGATCTAGCGTCGCTTGGTAAAAACAAGTTAAAACTGAAATTAAATTGTTGATCAATTCCCATTCTGTTGAACTGGGAACTTCAATACCACCACGTTCAGCCATATACAAATTTATTGCAACTTTCTGTTCGAATAGCCGCTCCAACATTAGGTAAGTGCTATTCCATCTTGTTTTCCACATCCTGAATTAACATATGCTGTGGCAAATTGCAAGTTTGTTGAAACTGGCTCAGGTACCTGCACGCTTGTTCACTCCTTTTAAAATGTCCCACAATTTTACGACATTTTTTAATTGTGTTTTCAATTAATTCCTGTTTTAATAAAGAATCATGAATTACAAGTTGTAATGAGTGAACCACACATCGTCTTAGAGATGTAAATTGTGTAATACGAATAGCCGCGACCATATTTGCTGCGTTATCAGTTACAGCTATATGAATTTTGTTTTCTATTTTAAAATTTTTAATTATTTCATTAAGTTTACTTGCAATAAACATACTAGTGTGGTCATCATTAAGCACACTAGCGCCTAATATAATTTTAAGACGTTTTGAACCATGAACAAAGTGAGCTGTAAAACTCAAAAGAGAACAGGTTTTAGCAGGATTGCTCCAAATATCTGACGTAAAGCTTAGCCATTCGGCTTTAGAAACTAAATTTGATACTTTTTTCCAAACTCTGTCATAGGTAGCTGGCATTAAACTAGTTCTAAAAAACTTTTCCGTTTTTTTTCTGTATTTGGAAGTAACATTAGGATCTCCAAAATTTAAACGCTGAAAAGCTTCTCCTTCAACGATAGAGTATGGTAACATGTCGACAATAATAAGGTCCATGATACCCTTATCAATCCTAGATGATATCGGATGATCATCAGGCCATAAGTTCCATTATTTGATGTAGGTTGGGCTGAAATGTCCTGGAAACTGGTTGTGTAACATCATGTGGAGTTTTCATATGTTCCAATTTTCGAACTTTTATTACCATTTCAATGTCACAAAATGATTTCCATTCTTCTGTATGGATTTTTTGTAGATGATTTTTAATATTTGTAATAGTTTGTTTTTTAGGTATTAAACTGCCAAGCGATAATGACTTTGAACATAGTTTGCATGCAGCTTTGTTGCCACTTTTTTCAAAATAATCCCAAATTGGATTTTTTATTGACATTATCTAAAAACGTTTGAATTTACTAAAATTATATTAAAATAAAAATTACAGACTTACCAAAAGTTATTTTTACAACACTAGAACAAAAACCTGAACTGATTTTGCAACGTAAATTATAATATATATATTTCACGGGTAAATAAGTACTATTAGCAAAGCTGCACCCACGAGAGAATAAACTTAAACTGTTGTAAAATATTTAATATTTGCATTCATAGTCGATGGTCGATGTTTTGCCATTTAGGTATCTATTCAAAACACCAGTAATCGTGAGTTTTAACAAATACAATAAAATTATTATCATAATTTTACTACGTGAGAAATATTCAAATGAAGATCTTTAAGACATCTTGGCCTATTGTTAAAATTTATATCCTACCTACTATTACCTGACCTCAAAGTTTGTAAAACGTTTTAGTTGAGGGTAGAAAATAGTGTGTAAATATTATTCAAATTATCAAAGACTCGCCGAAGCGTATTGTTCAGATATTATTTCATTTCTATAGTCACCTTCGGCAAAACCTTCGGCTTTGTTTTGGCCGAAGCAGAAATTTTGGCCGAAGGTTTAAATATTGAGCCGAAGGTTTAAATATTGGGCCGAAGGTGGCCGAAGCCGATGCCGAAGCCGATTAATCGGTCGGTCTCTAACGCGAACGCCATGTTTTAGACGGAAACATAGACTCGAATTGAGAAATTTGTGACAAGCTACGACAGAACTGTAATTTAAATTTTTAGAGATAAATAATTTAGTACATTTGAAATAAATTAATCTATTCTTCAACTAAAAGTATGAATAAAATAATTCATATTATATCTGTAGTTGCCGTAAATAAATGAAACCGGGTTAATTTGTCTATGCACACCAGATAAAATGTCACTGAACAAGCACTGGTTCCGACTAAAACAGTGCTGATTCCGTCTGAGCATACTTGATTTTTTAAAGTAGAGAGGGCATTCTGATTGTTTATTATTCTGTGGTTAGGATTCAAAAATTGAAATTACTTTTACACCTTTTGAAAAATAAATAAAATGTTGTCTTACACTAAATACTTAATGTATGTATTGCAGGTTATGAAGAAACTTCTGGGAACACATATGGGACATTCAGCATTATATACAATGTGTAGAATTTTACAAGAACCTGCTCTTAGCTCAGATGCAGATCTACTTAGAGGTGCCGTATTTTATACGCATATGGCTTTATGGAGTTCTGCTCCATTATCGAATTTACATTGTCCTCCTAGTTTCTGTTCTACCATCATTTTTACAGGTAAGAAAATTGGTCTTCAATATTGATATATGGCTATCTAATATTACCTGTCTAAAGTTATGTCTTTGTGCTGGTTTTCACTACCATTTATAAATATACAGTCAAAGTATTAGGAAAAACACGAAAAAAAAAACTGTAGTAAGAAGTAAAAATTTAAAGGAATATCTGTCAATAAAAGATTCGATTCGAAACGATTGTCAAAATTTAAAAGTCATAAAACGTCATCCAATTAATATCAAAATTTATCTGTTTAAATTTGTAACGCACTTCCCATTTTAAAATAATTTCATATAAATATAATTATTATTTTTAAACAATTTAGTTGATATAATAATTAACTTTACTATCAAATAATATTTATTTATATTTTATTATAATTTAATATTTCGTTTGAATTTGACAGGCCTGTCAAAAGTAAACAACGTATGCTTTGTTAATACGTCAACAGGTGGCGCTTAGATCAAACTTAATAATTCATTGAAATATTTGAATATAATATACAGTACCTGCCCAAATTATTGGGCCAAGCAAGGAAAACTTTACTATATGAAGTTATTTCTCTCATGCTTATGAATATATTTGAAAAAAATTACTGTTTTGTTCTTTTTGTGAATATTAACACTTAGGTAATTAAACTGTACCAAAACAGTTAACAAAAAACTTTTATTTATTAAAAAAGTATAATTTTTACAAAGTAGGGATAAATTTAATATTTTGTATGTCTGCCTTTGGCTGCTAAAAGAGCTTGAACATATGGAGGTATGCTCTCGATACAGACTTGAATAGTTTCCTGGAGGTGAGGATTTTGATTCCACTGATATTTTACTGATTTCCACTAGAGAATTTGCTATATCTCAAATACGTAAACACGCATGGGATAATGAACATAGGGTTCAATGGAATGATTCAAAAATAGTCGTAAAAGAAACGGATGGTAAAAAGAGAAAAATCAAAGAAGCGGCTCTAATTATGTTAAATGAGACCAATTGTGTCGCAAATTCCTCGGCAGAATGTAGTAGGATCTGGTTACCCCGTTAAAAGAGGAAGTATATTAAAAAAGAAAATACCAGTATTAGTAAGTCAGTAACATATAGGATACATCATTTATGTTTTTTAAATAACAAACATATACAAATCAGAATTTGGTGTTTATTGAAGGTAAACTAAATGCAAACCAAATACTTACCATGTCGGGATAGTATTATGAGGTTTTTTCCTGGTTTTTTCCTCATAACTTACTATGGAATCACTAACAGGAGAATTTTACTGTCATCATGGCATGTGTTTGTCTTTTTAAAGACGAATTACATGTTATGATTTTTTCTGACGGATATTCTCAAGTTAAAGTTGATTTCATGTAATCGAATGAACTATCTTATAAGTAAAGTCGTCCCAGGAGCGCAACTCAACAATATTGGCAATATAATTTTAAAGTCGTCTACTTTAAAAATGCATAATGTATGACTGAATTGTCAATATAAATGAGTCAGATAAAATTAAATTATTCGAAGCATTTTTCACTAAGTAACAAAAAAAAAAAAATTTGTTTAATTTACTGTTTATATTTTGAGAACGATTTCCGAAGTGGAAATTGAAACGTCAATAAACTTACTTTAATCTTTAATTGTGGCCCTTTTATAATTTAATAAGTAATTACTTTAAAGTGCTACAAGAAAATAGCTTTAGAACAAAAATAAAAATTTTAGGTCAAAACCTTTTAGAATTCAAATGTTCACAGACAGTATTTGAGGTTATAAAATGCACACTAGTTGACAGGAGCCAATGCTATCTAGCAATAGCAGATTAGGCGGTGTTACCAACGTTAAAACACTAGAATAATGTTACCATACTATATTAAATGTTGCTATGCGAAAAAATAATTCAACATTCCTGTTGATAAAAAGTGTTAATTTAAAAAAATGCAAATTTTTAATGCTTGGTCTAATAATTTGGCCGGTTTACTGTAATCTGTTTAAAATATGAATAATTAATAAATAATACAATTACTTTATTCAATTTTAAAATATTATATTTTAAAAATATAGAACACATAGTATAAAGCTTCGCGGTAACATTTTTTTGTATTGTATTGTAAAATGCTGAGGCAAGCGTCACGAAACTAGCGCCACATGATGGCGTCGTCTTAATAAGTATAAAAGAACTTATACATAAAATAGAAAACTGCATACCCCTTAGACGTACTTTTAAATTTTTGCTGATGTAAAAAGTTAATATTTGGAATCGTTTCATCATTTATATGTTTAACTTTATATTTATTTTAGGCTGTTAGATGTAATCATGCAGCTGTTGCTTACGAGGTAATCCTAGGTTTGAAATGTCTAGTAAATAAACAGGGTCCAGAACTTCAGGATCCGGCGTGGTCTATTTTGTTAGAAATTATTTCACACGTTTTGTGCCACATTGGTAAGTATTTTATATCATCTTATATATCAGTATTAGTGAAGGGGTTACATTTTTAGCGGGTAAGTTGTAGCGCTGTTGATAGTTTCTTTAACTCGATTAATTAAATCTCTAATTAAATATCGACCCCATACCATCTTTTCTTAGATTTTAAATCGGCCTATGATAGTGTCCTAAGAAATAAATTGTATGAAGCCATGGATGAATTCCACATCCCCGATAAACTAATAAGATTGGTTAAGGCTACAATGCGTAAAGTTGTTTGCAAAGGCGAAAATACAGGGCGAACAATCATAGGCATTTGAAACGCATGATTGGGCTGCGACAGGGAGATGCGCTGGCGTAAAATTTTTAATATATTTTTTCTTCTGCTCTATCCAAACCCAATGGGATTGTAAATAATGACAATTCTTTGAAGATTTTAGAAAAATCCTGTTATCGATGATCGGAACAAAAGTTTAACATCAGCGGAAGATCTTATCTCCCAACAGGACGGCGCAGGTTGCCATTACTCAAAAAAGAGTTTAAAATGGGAATGGGATAGGAATGGTACACCAGTTGTGGAGTGACTTTCTGGAATACGGGACTTGACCCTATTGGCGAAGTGCAAGTACTTGGAGGGGATACGAGAAACGATCGTGCGCGAGTAGCGGAGAAATCTTGCATTTTTACTGCACATTTCATAGATTTCATAAATTCATATTGTCATGTCATATTTCAATTCGTTTGTTTATTTACACCTTCTGTCACTGAAGAAAATGGGATTTAGGAAATGCTGTGTTATAAATTGTAAAAATACAACAAAAAATTGTCAATTTAAGTTTTATTCGTTTCCAACTTCGAAGCACAAAGCTACTACAAAGAGAAAAGTGGATTTATATCATAAAAAAGCATAAGTAACATAACCTAAATTATGCATTATTCTTGCGCCCGATTTTAAAGTCAGTTTGAAATAAATAATAAATAAAAGTTCATTTTAAGTGTAAATTTTAGTTTCATAACACTCACTTAGAGTTAATTTTAACCCAAAAATCAAGTTTAATGTTAAATTTTATTTTTTTGAAGTTTACAAAAATGCATCAAGTTCAAGTTTTTCTGAAGATGCATTAAGATATATTCGCTGTCCAAAAGTTTACAGGAAAGAATTAATTGTTCAAACCAATATGATGATATCATGGGCTTAACCTGCTAATTTATGCCTTAGCATTATTTATGGTAATTTATTTTTCTTAATTCTTCCATTCTTTTTTGACATTTGCCACTACTAAAGCTTTTCCCTTTGACTCAGTGCTTGGTTGAAAAGTTATTTGGTGATTTACTTTCTCAAATCCAGTTTTTATTATTGCATCCATATTAACAGTAATGTTGTAATTTAATAATGTATTTATTTGTATTTACACTACATACAACGTTTACCTTTTAATAACATACCGACATAACCTCAATCTTACTTTTTCTTCTTATTCTTTTTTGGGGCTACGTCCTTGACAGTTATCCGGTAACCTCGATCTAACATGAAAGCGCAGTAAATTTTGCTGATTTACGACACCAGGTGTCGCTGTTCCGAACTTGCACGGTCCCAATACAAACTTTAAGAGTATTGAAGAAACATCTTGCCAGGTCTGCCAACGAATTGAAGCAAAAATCTCAAGAAATGTGAAATTTATTTACACTAATTTACACTAAAATTTTGCCAGACATGGTAAAAACTATACCTCGAAAATTTTGGAAGTAATTAAAAATAAAATGGATGTCACTCAGTGACGTTTTTTGTTAATATTATATATTCCATGCGTTTTTTAATTGTTTTTTATTCTGTTCAATTAATCGTTTTCATTACTTTAAAAACTATTTTCTGTGATTATTGGAAATCTAAATTATGTTCTTTGATGAATTAAAACCTCATATACTTACTGTTGTGTTTGTTACATATATCTCGTATCTTGTACTTTGATTTTTTGTCTCATTAGTCCACTAATATATCGCATATTTAGAATGATGTACATTTCATACGTTTTTTTGCAGATCTCACATCAAGCCAATCACCTAATAGACTAATAGTAGCTCCTTTACATGACACCTTAAATTTCATAGAGCACTTAATGAAAGTTGACAGCTACAACGGATCAGTTAAACAATTTTACGGCATAATCGAAGAATGTTCCGCTGATAGACCAGAAAGTTCAATATTGGGACTTATAGTTCACCACGCTCAAAGTATAGTTCCTACGGAGCATCTGTGGTTGACGAATCTGTATAATTTGCTGCAGAAATATTTTAAGCTGGAAATTCGAAAAAATATCAGATTAAAGGTTTTAGAAACTTTGTCGCATGTAATCAAACTGAATCGGTAAGTTTAAGCTGAAACTATTTACATTGCTCGTTTTATTTTAGCTGTACATTTTTACGCTGTACCACGTTTACGATTTTTCTAATTTTGGAACAGTAATAATTCTAACAATAAAACACGCTGAAAACTTTTGTTTTTAACACTTTATTTATTTTAAATTATTATCACTACAGCTGTTTCGCCAGAATGCCTTCCTCAAGTGATCTATTTTTGGTATGTATTTACACTTTATAGTCTTTAACTGAATAAGTTGAGGAGGGAAGAATTATTTGCCTCATGTTGGTCATTCAGAATTATGTCTGTATTTTTTAATTTGTTGATTTCTATAGATTCTAATAAAGATAGCTTAAGGACTTTATTTTGAATGTGAAGAATTTGAAATTCGTCATTAAAAGAATGATTATGATCTAGAAGGTGAAGTGCGTATGTAGAGTCTGTTTTTCTATTATTGAAAATCCCTTTTATGTTCTGCTATACGTTTTATAAAAGTTCTACCAGTTTGACCTATGTAAGTTTTTGGACAGTCTCCACATTTAAGTTTGAATACACCACTGTGTAAGTGCTTTTTATTTTGGCTCTTATTGTTTTTAATATATTTGCCTAAGTTGTTGTTTGTTCTAAAAGCTGGTGTTATTCCTTTCTTTTTTATGTGTTTGGCTATTTTTTGCCCCTCTTTTATTGGGATGATGAGCTTGGCTTCTGGAGTTCACATTTTTTATTTCAAACATGAAAAGTTAAAATTTTTGCCGGTTGTAACTAAAATAAAATGAAGTAATGCGAAATTTGATTAAGGAAGACACAAAATATCACAAAAAAATTATTACTCTTGTAAAAATTGATAAACGTTTTGAATTTTAGGAGGCAATATGAAGACGAACTTATAGATCGCATAGTAGTACCGCATATGGTTAATATGAATTATAATAACGATATAGTTGTAAGATCTTCAGTAGCTAATCTACTAATCGACCTTTGTCTTGAATGCGAATCAAAAAAGTGTCTAGATCTATTAGATATTTTGGAAAAGGTAAGTACTGAATAAAAATTCGTGAGTAAAAAATATATTAATGTGTGCATATTACTTACTTTCTTCATAATTACCCCTATTTAGTAACTCTGGACCCTTATACAGATTGAACCAAATTAAAACGGAACATACAATTTAATACATGTCTGTTTGAACTGGCATTTGAAATAGTGGACCAGTATAAAACTTGGACAAAAATAAATCCATACCTGGTATAGACATTATATAAAATATCGTTCAAACTATCTGTCTCGCAACAACGTTGTTTGCGTAAGACGGGTTTGTATAAGGAAGCGATAATAGTTCAGGAAATGAATCTCGAAAAAAGTTAACCTCGCAATTTTTTCTTCCTGCATGTATCCAGTTGAAATTTTAACAGAAGGTAGGTGATAGCCCAAGGATCAAAATCTATATCGAACCGAAGTGCGCTGAAGGGTATTAGGGGTGAAAACTACCCGTAATTGTCAAAAAATTATAAAATAACATATTAAACCTGAATATGGGTAAGATTTGGTTTGTATTAGTTAAATAATGATTATTTTATACTTTTGAATAGAGTTCCATCATATTTCAACCCTTAAAAAGCAACCCTTGTTAGAGAATAATGTAAAAAAATTACTAATTCTAAAAAAATGATTTCGCCTTGGATCGATTTGGATAAAAATTTGGATTTAAGCTCAATTCACCCGCTGCTTTATAGTTTATGTCATGTCGACGAACCCTGATTGTTCTTAGGGTGAAAACTACCCCTAATTGTCAAAAATTATAAAATAACATATTAAACCTGAATATGGGTAAAATTTGGTTTGAATTAATTAAATAATGATAGTTTCGTGCTTTTAAATAAAATTCCATCATATTTCAACCCTTAAAAAGCGACCCTTATTAGAGAATAATATAAAAAAATTAGTAATGCGAAGAAAATGATTTCACCTTGGAACGATTTGCATAAAAATTTGGAATTAACTCAACTACCCTCTGCTTTATAGTTTATGTCATGCCGATGAACCCTGATTGTTCTTAGGGGTGAAAACTACCCCTAATTTTCAAAAATTGTAAAATAATATTACAAATTTAAGATGAGTGAAAATTTGGTTTGGATTAGTTAAATAGTGATTTTTTATACTTTAAAATACAAATTCATACATTTTCAACCCTTAAAAATCAATTGTTATGAGTGCTATAGGTGAAAACAATTTTTTGCCAAAATTTTGCAACTTTCAACTTTTGAAAATCACCCTTTACAACATTGCAGTTTTTATAAACTATTTTTAAGATATAAATTCAAAAAAAGTAGAATTAAATACAAAAAAATTTATCAACATAAAAAGGCACCATATATTCTTATACATTTACATAAATAGTTGAAAATATTTACATTTATAGGTAAAACAATTATAATATTAATTTTATTCGTCATCAATTACATCTTCATCGTGATCTATGTCATCCTCATCTTCTTCAATTATTGGTGGACTGTTATTGCACCCTTCACCTGAGCACCCAGAACAAGTAGAGTTACAGTATAAACCAACTTTTCTGCACCCACATGAAACGCCGCATCCTTTTTTGCATTGGCAAAAAATAATTTTCAAAAGTTCATCGGGTGCAGGTTGTTTGTTCATGCGTACGGGTAATAACAAACCATCTTTGGAATACCATCCCCAATCTGTTGCTCTGATATTTTCATTGCCAAGCCATAGACATATGAGCAGATGTTTTATTCTCTTGTATGGGATTTCAAAATAAGAACGCTTAAAATTTTGAATGTATAATGCCCCACTAGCTAATATACCGGTTTTGTAGATTATTATGCTCCGACATGTACTGTACTATACTAATGGAATTTTCCGGAAAAAAATTAACTGGTTTTTTTAACGTATTTCCTTTAATTTTTAACGATAGAGTGTTTCTTTAAAAACGATTTGTAGAGGTTTTTAAGAGCTGCAAGGATCTGTGAATTAAATCTTTTTGAAACCCTTGGTTTTTAAATGGGGTGAGTTTAAAGGACTCGAAACAGATGGTGCTTGATCGTAAATCAATGCTTTAAAACGGCTATATCTCGCCAAATATTCATTGTACAACAAATCTAAATAAAGGATAATTTTAGTCATTAAAAAAGCTACAATTTGGTAATTTTTATTTTTTTCATATATTCAGTATTTTCGGGCATATTTAAAAAAGAAGGGTAAAAAATATGAAATTGTAAATCGTTTCTCGCTTTAAGCTGTACTTTTTCTAAAACTAAGCATTTTAAATGGGTCAAACTTCTTGGACGTATTAACAATACATGTACAAAGGGAATTGCAGAAGGTGAAGATCGATTTTAATTATGGGGTGGTTAGGGGGTTGTTTTCATCGATTTTTTTCGTAAAAAATGAGGTATTGATCCTTATTTTCATCATAACTCACTCAATTTTTGAGCTAGAGTCTTTTTTTATGATAGGTCTATTTATGCTCTTTAAAAAAGGTTTGTGAGTTTTCTTCCAAAAACGCATCATTTTTCCGATATTTGACTTTGAATCTTTCAAATTTGGCATTTGAAGAAAACCGCTGAACATTGATAGGCCGTATTTCGGTTCCTATTATATCGCAAAAACATTTTAAAAAAGCTACAAATTTGTTCTCTACAATTTTTTTGATAAAATGCACCATTTTCGAGTTATTCGCGAAAAATCGATTAAAAATGTGGATTTTTTCGTCTAAAAGTTGTTACTTTCAATCGCGAATAACTTAAAAAATATCATTTTATAAAAAAAATGTATAGCAACATTTTTTGTTTAGAATCACTTTTTTAATTGAAACCTGTAGTTGAAACGTAAAAAAAATTTTCACCCTGGAGATGGGGTGGCAACCACCCCCTAGGCTTTGGCGCACTTTGGTTCAATATAGATTTTGATCCTTAGGCTATTACCTACCTTCTGTTAAATTTCAAGTCAATCCACGCAGCACGAAAAAATTGCGAGGTGAAATGCTTCATTTCCTGGACTATAACTGGTTTGACAGCATAATAAAATCGTAGATTTATGTGTAGGTTTCAGTTTTTATGAGTTCAGAATCCAGCAGCCCGCTGAAGTATGGGATTTTTATAATATAATTATTTGACAATCTTTTGTTGGCCAACCACCTACAGCAGAATTGAGCCGAAATACATTATATTCCTATGTTCCGAATTTATTTCGTTCAATCTGTATACGATTTATAAAAATATTGAGTATGTTTCACTGTTGAAGTGTTTTATTGGTTGCATAAATTCTGCCGTCCTAACATGAAAGGTCCTATCTGCAAAATTTGGTAAAATGACTTTATTGGCTCACGGCATTCGTAAACATATTATCTATGTATGTACAAAATGAAATTGTCCTATAAGCGTCTTAAGTGCCTTATTATATACCTAAATGATTTGTCCTAACTGACTAAAAAGCCATGTTCACTAACATAAATTGTCCTATCTCACATATACTAAGAAAAATTGTCCGTTTTGACTTTAAAAATGCAGTTAGGACGATTTAAGCTAGTATTTTATACTGAGCGGCATCATTTAGGACAATTTTTGCCTAGTATGATATAAGCATGTGTGTAACATAACTTCAAATAATTAATTAAAAAGGGTATTTGTTATTGTCAGACATTGAGAATACTCTCATGCTTTTTGGTATTTTAAGTAAATATATTGTGAGAAATGGATGAAGGGTAAGTTTAAGTAATGTTACCTTAGGTATAAGCAATAACTGATCGTAATTATTGTTTGTAGTAGTAGCAAAAAATATAGACGCACATGCGTCTATATTTTCTGGTTGTAGCAATGCAGCATGTCGTAGCCAGAACAGCGATAGGTGTAAACGTATGGTATTTAGCCAAAAGCGAGAATGATCCAGATTATGCACCTGGGACGTCCAATAAATTCGACAATAATATAAATGGAAATGAGTCGGATTCTAGTTTCGAATCTAACTATTATCATTTATGTTACATATATTAGGATGTAAATTGTGTACTAAGTTTTAAAACTTCTTCTTCTTTTTATATAGACATGACTCTGTCTGTTTTTCAATGTATCTCCAGTAAGTTGCCTTTTCATCGTTTTCGTGGTCTTCCTACTGATCTCATCGTTTTCGTGGTCTTCCAACCGATTGTCTTCTTATTGGGGAACCGTCTCTTGCCGTATTTACTACTCTATTTGTTGTCATTCGGCTTGTATGATCGTTCCATTCTACTCTTCTATTTCTTACACAGTTCTTAATATTCTTACTTTGTCTGATGTACCTCACCTTGCATATACATTGTATCTCTGTACTCTGTATCTTATCTTAGCTCTATCCCATAGTGTTTTGCCATCAATGTTTCTAAGTGTTTTTATCTCTTCTGTTTCTAACATCCTTTTTGTCCTCTCTGTGTCAGGTCTTGTTTCTGCTGCGTATGCCATTATTGGTCTGATGACTGTTTTGTAAATTTTGTCATTCATTTCTTTTCCGATATTTTTATTTCTTTATATTGTTTCATTCAGGCAGCATGCGGCACTGTTTGTTCTATTCACTTGATATTCCACTTCAGTTTTGAGCTTTCTGTAGCTAGATAATGTGATGCCTACATATTTAAACTCCATCACTTCTCCTATTATCTTACCTTCCAGCTCCAATTTACATCTTAGTAAATTTGCTGTTGTAAGCATGCATTTTGTCTTTTTTGGGTAAACTAACATTTTTCTGGCGATTATATTAAATTCGTGCAACATAAGTTGTAAATCATCTTCACTTTGAGAGATCAGTATTGCGTCGTCTACATAGTAGATTATTTTAAGTTGTTTTTCTACCATTCGCCATTTGCCTCATTATAAATATAGCGTCGATGCATAATCTTCCGACCTAAAACCTTGTGGTTCTTCTGCCAGTGTTATAATTTCATTCAGTTTATTTGTTATCACTTTGGTTGTTAATTTTAGTGTTGTGTTTCATAAATTAATTCCCATTCCCTTGATCTCCATTCTTGAGGACTACTATTTTTTGTTCTATTATTTTATAAAACTTAGTATAATAAAATTAAAAGTGTTCAGTTAATTTGAATTTTAGTTTTATTTAGGACAATTTCAGTAAGTAATACAAAAAAATGTACTTCAGATATACTAAGCTAAATTGTCCTAAGTGGTAATTTAATCAAAAATCGACTAATCTGGAAAGAATAAAACAAAATTCTGACTAGCAATTAAATTCTATTCTTTGACATAATATATAAAATAAAACATAAAGACTTCTTTAAATTACCAAGCGTTATACAATGAAAAGAAACAAAAACTTGATTTTCTCAAAACCTAAATTTTGCAGATAGGACCTTTCATGTTAGGACGGCAGAATTGTAGTGAAGATATTAAATCGCTCACTCCTCTTACACTCACCTATAGAATTTTTAATGAATTGTTTCAAAACATTTAATCTTCTTTTAATAATGTCCAAATCTTGTAAAAGCAGGCTAAAGACATCCAATTGGGTTCACCACTTCTGGGGGTATACTATCGAGTCTGGGAGACTTTCGTGCCCTCAGGGCGGTAAAGCCGGTCGGCTTCGGCATCCAACTGCACTCAATGCCAAACGCCGGACAAAAGCAACTCTCGGATAACCTCAATCTCCGTGTCCAGTTGTATCTTACACAGAGGGTACGCCCTTGAATTGCTTGTTAACTCTACTTCCCATCCTCATTTAACTTGCCACATCGCCCCTCAGTGTCTCTTTTTTTTGGTTCTGATCTTCGTTTTCAGTTACTTCTTTAAAGCATTGTATATCGTGTCCTGTCTATCACTTCACTTTCCTCTTTCTTTTGCCACCGTGGCCTGACTTAATAGAGCACCATCAGTAAGGAATTTAATTCCTTTATCTGAGCTTTTGTATAGTTTCTCACAGACTCTCAGTATTGATTCGCATCCTTCTGTCGATGGCGGATGGCATCTTTCTCTCTTATCATTTGTCCAAGTTCCATCAAACGCTAACCAATCTATACCCGCCTTCCTACTGGTCCAGTGATGACCCCTTGTAGATAGTCCCCATATCCACCATCGAAAAGCCAATGTAGCCATGTTTTCAGTGTTATCCAGCAGTACGGCTTAGTCTCGATGTTTTCTGACTGCATTCTGTGTATCGAAGGAGACATCGATATACTACTAAAGTTGGCTCCCAACCAGTGTTTAGAACAACCAGAGCCCCTATCTACTCTGTAAGCACTTTTCCATGAGCGTCTATTCCATCGCTTTGTCGTTGAGGTCCCCAAGTACCATACACTCGCTTCCCAATGACCTGATCAATGACCACATTCATAATTCTCTATCAAACCATTCCCTACCAAACATCAACATGAGGTTTGGTACCTTCGCTATCAGGATGACAATCTTCCTTTTATCCGTGGAGACCATGGCCAGATCGTGAGTTAATCTAGCCTTTCTTACATTCACCTCTTTGACGCTTATTCATTTTTGATAACTCAATCACTAGAGTCCTATCCTGTTGCCATCTGCACCTCTTGCCTTTTTTATGATTCCTCTTTTAATGATTCCTCTATATTAGCGACATTAAGTCGATGTTGAACTGTGGTCTTCCTCGTTGCAGTTGTAGTATCTTATTGTGTTGCTCTGGTTACTGCAGTTGCTCATGATCCTCCAGCCCCCTTCTCTTGCTTCCCTTCGCAATTTTTAGCTATATGATCATGTTCTTGGCATATATAGCATCTTATCACCTTCACAATCTCTTTCATTGTAATGTGGACCATCCCGATTTTTACCTTGATGTTTCTAGCTCTCTCGTGGCTTCGTCCTCCTTACATATTTTATCTTTTTCCCTGTTTTTATATCAGCTTTTCTGTGATTAGCCCATCCATGTCCACAAGCAGCAACCCTTTTTTCACTCTTCTACCTTTGCAACCACTTGTATTGTGCATCATTTACTTGACGCCACCAATGCAATAAGTTAAAGTCTAGTAATATGATGTATATCATATTTAAAAACTCTTTAAGATCATAGACATTCGTTTCGATTCATTCAGCCGGCTGGCGATGTATCCTTTCAAGATTGTTAACCTTATTTTTCATTCACTTTTTCCAGTAAAGTAATTGTTTTTATAGTTTAACCTAAGTGTTTGGCAGATTGGTTACATCTCACGGCTTTTCTGTAAAGTTTTTAGTAAAACTAATGATTTTGACATTACTTTTACTATATTTCACACAAGCTAATTTTCTTCTATGATTTATATTGTAAGTCAGCGTTCAACGATATGTTTCTGTCTCACATTTAACCTATTCATAACGATATTACCTCACACTGTCGTTTTTATTTGAGATAAGTTAAGATTTGGAAGTAAAGAGATGGATTGGTCGAAAGAAACTTTCATGGCTGCGGAATATTAGACAATGGTGTGGTTCCACAGTAGAAGAATTATTCGCGCAGCAGCCGACAGAGAAAGGTTTCAGGAAATTGTAAACATGATGACGGCCAACGTCTGAATACGAACACGGCACCCAAGAAGAAGAAGAAGATTTGGACATTATTCTGTCCAAATTTTAACTTATCTCAAATATATTTTTGTCTCTTGCTATTAACTCTGATAATTATTTAATAATGTTTTTTTGCGTAACAAGATTGCGTTCATTTGTGTGTATTATTAATTTCTTGCACTTCCAGAAATGTATAATATATAAATTACAATCTACTTGTATTTTTACTTAATAGTTCTTATATTTTTTTAGATGTTGCTCAGACCTTTCGACACATACCTATCGGATAATAGCTCCCATTCAGATGCAGAATTTTCCGATATAAAATGCCTGGTGGAAGGACTTATTAAGGTTTTTATAGTAAAAATTCACAAATTACCATCTACTCATGCGATCAAAATCTATAAAATGTTAGTAAAATTTTTGGAACTGCACTACAATAAGCCAAAGTTGTTTGAAAATTGTCCGATCGTTAGAAAAATGGTATGTATAAGTATAAATGTACTATGATGATTCTATTTACTTAACATTACATTTCTATCAATGTATCACAATCAATCAATCAGTGTATCACAAAATCTATAACAGGTCGTTCTATCTAAGGATTATTACAAAACTAAATAGAGTAGAATAGTGTTGCATGTCTACTTGCAACATGCCAGTCTCATAGGAGCATTTAAATTTAGCAACCTATTTCTGTGTTTATTCTTAATGACATATAATGTTGAGAATGATGTCTCACAGAGATAAGTGGAATGAAAAGGAAGAAGAAGTTCCAAAGCTTTTTTACTTAGCAGTGGACTTTCATCAAGTAATCCTATCCAAAAATCTGCAACATTTTCGCAGTGAGATTTTATCACTTTTAAATGATCATCGGATGAAATTTCAATAAGCTGTTCATTTTCCTGAATAGACAGATTATTATTGTGGGTAGCTAAAAAGGGATCAATCACCCACAGATTATTTTTCCTCACATCTGTATCAGCAGGGAAGTACTTTTCAAAGTAATCTTGAAGCGACTTAATGTAGGACTTAACCAGTGAATGTAAAACATCCTCATTTAAGCCTTTATTTTCAGAGATAAAATCTGAAAACAAGTTGAACATTTCAAACGATCCTTTTCCAGCTTCGGACTCCCATAGCAACAATTTTTTCTTAAATGAATCAATTTTTTCCAAAGGTCAAATGCGGTTTTAGATGGTTCCTGCAGGCCTAGATTCAATATGTTGAGCTGTTCAAAAATATCTGCTAAAAAAGCTAACTGGGTCATAAATTTCTCCGTCACGCAGTGTTTTCGCTAAATCAGGTTTTTTTTTTCATCAAGATACATACATACTTCTTCTCGAAGTTCATAAAATCTGGCTAAAACCCGGCCCCTGGACAGCCACCTAACTTCGGTATGTAGAAGGAGATTGGAATGGATGGATCCCATGTCCTCGCATAACAAAGCAAACAATCTCGAACTAAGAGCATTACTTTTTATAAAGTTCACGGCCTTTACCACAGTAGTCAAAACCTTGTTTAGGTCGGGACTTAATCTTTTGGCAGCAAGCATTTCGCGATGAATAATACAGTGTGTTAAAACAATATCACGGTTTCCTTCTTTCCTTACAAAACTTGGCAAGCCTGTTTTGTGACCTGTCATTGCCGCGGCACCATCAGAGCAAAGTCCTACACAGTCTTTCCAAGAAAGATTTTTAATTGTGAAATATCCGTCAATGGCTTTAAAAATGTCTTTTCCGGTTGTGTTACCTTGCAACTCAATCGAGGTCAGGAACTCTCAGATAATTTTTTGTTGTCTTTATCTATGAATCGTATATAAACAAGAAAAATAGCTTTATTGGTAATATCTGTAGATTCATCAAGTTGTACAGCAAAAATCTTTGAGGAATGAATTTTCTTTAGAAGTTGGGTTTCAACATCTGATGCCATTTCTTCAATTCTCCTACTAACGGTGTCATTGGAAAGAGGAATATTTTGCATTTGTTTAGCGTATTTATCACCTAAAATTGCTTTAGTTGCATCTACGATACATGGTAAAACTAATTTCTCACCAACAGTAAAGGGTTTTTTGGTTTTTTGCGATCCTAAGTGAAACTTGATATGACGCCTTCAAAGTAGCTTTATCATAAGTTGAGTATGACTTAAGGATATTTTTTGACGATTTTAGTTCCGTCTCCTTCCTCTTAAAGAAATCTACATGTTTTATTCGCACGAAGGACGCAGAGGAATTGGTAGAAAGCACGCCTCTTGTTGAAGAATATCAGGGAGTGACAGGAATAAGAAGCTGAGCAACATTTAGAATAGCTCTAGACAGAGACAGTTTCGCCATGTTTATCGCCAACGTCAAGGGGACTTGATAGGGCACGTTAAGAAGAAGAGACATGTTTCCGGCAAAATTTTTATGCTTGTTTCAAAGTGTCTAGTTAATTTTGCCGGATTCATTGCCTCATTACTTAATACCTCCGCACAAATTACACATTGAGGTAACTGGACACCAAATTCTTCAATGAATGTAAATCCACATGCTATGTAGTCAGGATTGTACTTACGGTTAGCAGCCTTTCTTTTAGGAACCAGTTTGAGTTAATATTGTGCTATCACTGGCAATATTACTAGTAGAACATCCTGTTTTAACGTTCTCACTATCCGTCTTCTTAAAAAAACCCGAAAGTTTCATCTGTTTGCTCATTTTAGTAAACTACAACCACCAAGCCAAAAAAAGACGCACGCTCGTCACTTGACAGTTGAGTTAGCACTGAGTCACTGAGTAGTGGCGCGATCAAAAACGCAGTGGTCGCAGTGTCCTGTACGTACACGACAGCGGCCGAAACTAAACGAAGATAATGCAACTATATTGGCGCGTGAGGGAAAATACGCGGAAGATTGAGGTGAATGAACCTGTGTTCAGGCGCGCTTGGTCGTCTGGAAAACGTTTTGAGTTAAAAAGATAGGCCGGCGCATTAATTTACGTCTCAAGAACCAAGTTGTAAATTGATTATTTTATGACTGTTTCACTTCGCGGACCACAGGTTGTGAATCACTGTTCTAAAGCAGCAGACACAACAGCACCAACAAACTCCAGCAATTATCTTTCTGATATGGTAGTTCTAATATGTCGATTGCGCAGATTGATAACTTTGTTTTGGTTCGATACATTGGTCAAGAGACCTAAAGGACCAATGAGAAGGTCACGTGCTCGATAATAAACCTAGCCCATAGACAAAGATGCAGGGACTGCTTTACGTCAGTCTTCTGTGTTGCACTGGTGGAACGCAACTCTAGTGCAGCGGTCAGTATATCTTGTATTATATGTCTATTGCGATATGTAGTAATACCAATTTGACCCTTGACGTACTTGTCCTCGATCTTGTAGGAATTAGCCATATTTTGATGTGAAATTCTAAGAGGTGGTGTTCTGATTCTTTTATGACTATTGATGAATCTTTTCATTGGACTCGGTGCTCATTATCCCAGGCATGTTTGCATATCTAATCAAAGTCTGTTTTTAATGTATGATTCATGCTCATTTATCCTAAAATTTAGTGATCTGAAAGTTTTTCCCATATAAAAATTGTTGCATTCGCAAGGTATTTTATAAATGCAGTTCTTTGATCTCCTCTGTTGTTGTTGCGTTTGGTTTTGGACATAGTAAATCTCAGTTGGCTGTTTGTTTTAAATGTTGTGATATTGAATTTATTTCCTATCTTTTTTAATTTTTCTGATAAGCCTTTTATTATAAAAATACCATTGTTGTTCTCTTCAAATCCTTTCTTGTGAGATTTGTGGATCGTTTTTGGTGTTATTCTTTCTTCAATCTTGTGAAATTTCTTGTTAATAAATGACAATGCATAGTCAATTTTTGTTAAATTCTTTGTTAGCAGGTTTTTTCTTCCTGAAATGCGTTTTCGTTGGAACGGGTGTAGGCTCTATCATATATTGATTTGATGATTCACTTTTTGTTTATGTGACGGGTAGCTCTTTCGAGGCGACAGACCCAGTAAAACACAGGTTGAAATAAAAATAAATCCATTAATTTAACGTATATACAATAAATAAAATTAAAATGTCTTCTATGCTCTCGTCTGGATCCCGCGAGTGTGAACTCCCCGGCGAACGTCTGTAAAAGAAAGAAAAAAAAATATTATTACTAACAAAGAAATGAAATACGCGAAGTCGATCGCACGTAGACTTATACCCGCTTCCACCTCAATTCAGCGGAAGCTCCGAACGCACTCGCAAACAAAACATTCGGTTGTGCAGATCCACGTTGACGTAACATTCAATTCACGATACCGATGGGTTATGCTTGGTTAAGAACAGAGTACGATCCTCAATACGGAAATCTCTATGTCCGGGTTGGCTCGCAGATTCACTACAACCAGCGAGCCAGGGAGTCTAGAGCGCTAGCCACAAGACTATCTAATTCCGCCAGTCGCTCGCCTTAAATAGCCGCTCTGAATCCCACTTCGTCGTCTCGTCGTGGAAGTGGATGCGCGAATATCGACACTCCCAACGGTTCGAACTGTTAACGATCAACACATCGTTAAATTTATATAGTGGTTTGAATGGTAATCGAAATATCTGTTAGTGTGGGTTGGTTTTCTATAGATTGTAGTTACATATCCTATATAATTTCTGTGTGATTAACACAGCAGGTACACAATGGTAGTGAGTTGTATGCCTTATCCATGGTGAATTTAAGTCATTCTTTGCAGTTAATGTCCATCAAAAATTTGTTCAATGCTTCTTGTCCATGAGATCTTTTGGAGAACACATCATCTACATATCTCCACCATATTGTGGGTTTTTGGTAATGTTTGTACACAATATTTTTCACAAATTCTTCACAAATTCCATGAATATATCTGCTGTTGATGGAGAGAATGAAGAGCCCATGGCTAATCCAAAATCTTGTTTATAAAAATTATTATCTAATTGAAAATAGGTGTTCTCAGTGCATATTAAAAACTCCATTAACTAATACATTCAGTTTTATTTCAGTATCCATGTCTCGTCCTTCTCTTATTTGTTTCCAATTATTTTTAAGGTTTTTTTCATTGGAACATTGGTGAATAGGCTGTTGATGTCAAAACTATTTTACATTCATTAAGAAAAATGTGAATTTTGGAATATTTGCACTTTATATATTGATTTTTTTTTCAGATTTTTGAGTGTTTCTTAAAAATAAGAGCAGATCCTTTATACCATCTCGGTTATCAGGATGGAAAAAATCTTAAATTCAGTTCATACATATGTGTTGTCTACAAGAGTACCGATAGAGGAAGTTTGGGGTCTCCAGTGCCTCAATCTCCCGCTCCACATCAACGGCTTCCCGTTACTGTGACACCTGTATCTCTTCGAGCCGCTTTCAAGATATTTATAACTTGTCTAAAAGTGGAAAAAGGTAAGTCTTATTGAATATGTAATTTAATATTATTGTTGGGCAAGTTTATTTAAACTCAATAGTAAAGTTTGGCAGTATCTAGTTTGGTCCGATCTTTTGACATTATTTTTGTAGTTATTCTCCAGTTACCATCATAATAGTTAACTGAACGCATCTAGACCTTTAAAAAATTGATCTTTTTCTATAAACCAGGTCTCCACAGCTTCTATACCTCATATCACCTATACGTTGGAAGAAAATTTAAGCCGTTTTACACTTTTTTCAGTTAGGAAAGACACATATGGGGAAGGGGGTATTCGCATAATTTGAACTCTAAATCACGAATATTGTTTGCATGACAATGTAGTTTGCATGACAACTGTGTGTAGTTGCATAGTCCTACAAAAACAAAAGTCTTTAAGACTACTTTCTGCGTCCTCTCTTCAATTTTTTTTATCGTAGAGAAGTGAATAATAATTCCCAGTTATTTTTCTACCCTTATCCAGAAAATAAATCATAATTATTCCTTGGTAACCCAACAACTGAAGCAAAAACTTTTTCTGAAGATTTTTTAAGACGAAATTTTCTTTCTTGTCTTTTTCTTCTACAAACAAACAAAGTGAAGTTGCAATTTATATAAAAGAAAATCTTATGTATTCTTCTCTTAACCTAAATGAATATAATGTACAGCAAAGTTTAGAGTTTTGTGTAATGTATGTACCTTCAATAAAAAACCAATACAGTAGAACTCCAATTATCCGAATTAATGGGGACCGGGACCCATTCGGATAATCAAATTATTCGGATAATCGGAGTTTTTTAATAAAAATTGCCATTGGAGAGAAAAAAAGCTACGTTTTGATATTGCACTATTTTTTAATTGAATAAAATGAAAGAAACATGATATTTTCACATGTTTTAAATGTAAATAAAATGTACATATGTACATACATACATACATACGTACAAGTTTAGAAATAAAAATCATTGTCTTTTAAACATCTCCGTCAATGTAAGCTGTTTTGCGTTCTTCATCCGTTTTCGGGCAGCCAGGTCACGCATTCGCTTGACGGTGAGCAGTTGCAAGTGGTCACACTCGGGCTGACGCTCCATCCAATTCAAAGCAGTCTCGAGGCCGGCAAATGCTTCACTAGCTGATGGTCCAGCGTCTACTTCAACATCAGCAGAAAGTTCTTCTTCCACTTCCACTTCAACATCTTCTCTCACACTTTCAACAATTTCATCGTCATTGAGAATTTGAAAACCAGGGTCAGACGTGTCACAAGCCATCCACTCTCCTACATCTTCAGCACTTACTTCTGTACAACCAGGAATTTTTACAATCATTTTTCTCATTTCCTCTAGTGGCAACGCATCTTCATCATCTTCATCCTCTCCATTTTCTTGTTTCTCATTTTCTTTTTTTTTGTTCTTCTCAGACGGTAGGCCTTTCAGTTTATTCCACGCACGTCTTAGCGTCACTGCCGTAACCAAACTCCAAGCTTCCGCTACCATGTAACAGCAGTCCTTTAAATTTATTTTGCTATGATTTGCCAAAACCAATTCTTCATCTTCAGCACCTTCGATCAGCAGTTTTCTCAGCAGTTGCCTTCTGTAATGGCGCTTCATTGTTTCAATAACAGACTGGTCCATGGGTTGCAGCAAACTTGTAACATTGGGAGGCAAAAACGTCATTTTAAACTGCCCATTCTCTCTTTCCAACAGTTCTGCTGTAGGATGAGTGGGTGCGTTATCAACAATTAAAAGCACCTTACTGCCTTCTTTTCCCACCGATTTTTGGTGCTTTTTCACTTCAGGAATAAACACTTCATCATACCATTCGGTAAACAAAGCTGCAGTCATCCAGGCCTTGGGTTGACTTTTGTAGAAGAGTGGAAGTTTTTTTACGTTTTTAAATGCTCTTGGATTTTTTGATTTTCCTATCAAAAGAAGTGGTAGTTTATGATTTCCAGTGGAGTTGGCACAGTTAAGCACTGTAACACGTTCTTTACTGACCTTATGTCCAGGGGCACTAGATTCCCTTTTAGAAGCCAAAGTGGTTTTTGGTAATGCTTTCCAAACAAGGCCAGTTTCATCGGCATTATAAACAAACTCCGGATCATAGGATTCTGCTGCAGTTTTAAATTTTTCAATAAAACTTTCAGCAGCTGCAGAGTCCGCTGAAAGCTTCTCACCAGCCAAATCTAACTCGCGTACACCATGCCTGAATTTAAAGTTCCTTAGCCAGCCGTTACTAGCCTTAAAAGATGAATAACCAAGCTTTTCTGCTAAGATTTTGGCTTTTTCACAAAGGATTGGGCCTGAAATCGGATTTCCCATAGAACGTTGCTGCAAAAACCATTTAAACACGGCATCTTCCAAATTTTTGTTGGTTGCTGTCTTCATTGTTTTCCTGGAGGAACTTCCATCTTCATTTTCAAGCACCGAAACAAAGTTTAAAAGTGTTGACTTACTGTTTTTAATGTCACAAATTGTTGCTTGTCCAACACCATAAATCTCAGACAACTTCTTACCCGTTACACCTTTATCGAGTTGCTCTATAATTTTCAGTTTGTCCGCTAACGATAGCACAACACGTTTTCTTTTCGAAGCCATGGTAAAAAACAATACAAACGTAAGCCGTAGCGAAAGAGTAGCGTTTTCGAGCAAGGTCAATAGCACACTGACTAATGTAACTGAACAAACAATGACAGGTGCGCCGTGACTCATAGCACGTGTTGTGCATACACTGACGCCGCGGACTTTGGACAATTTTCTGATTTTTTCTGAAAGTGATTCGGATAATCGGCGATTCGGATAGTCGGAGTTCGGATAATTGGAGATTCTACATGGTATTTTAAACTATGTACAAGATCGGGTAAGGGTGACTTTGACTTATTTTTGGTGAATTTTGACAATGTCATAACGTCCGTGCTTAGTAAAGCAGACAAACTGATCATATTTGGTGATTTTAATATAAATTTTAAAATTGAATCTGACCCTTCTTTTGATATTCAAACTCTATTAACATTTTTGGTCTACAAGTAACTATAAACGATTATACTAGAATCACATCCTAGTCCAGTAGTTGCATCAACAACATTGTGACAAATTTTTCTGAAAATATCTAGAGTGGGCGTATTTGAACCTTGTTTTTCTGACCATCCAGCTCAATTTTGGAGTATTATGAAGGGGAGTATTATGAAACTATACCTTATTTTTTGCAGACAATTAGAAAATCCGATAAAATACAGGGTGTTCCATAAGAAAAAATATAACTTTGAAACGCCGCGCTTTATTGTGACACCCTGTATATTTCAGAATAATTTTAAAATATGGCCTTTATTAACCTACATGGAGGAGGAGTCAACCTTTTACCTATATTTTTTACTACCTATGTACAACCTACAAATATCAGTAAACCTTTTAAAATAGTTACCACTAAAACATAAGCCTTCATTAAATTTAGTAAAAAATTTTAATTTCTATTATCAAATATCGATCGACTGTGTTAACTAAGTATATATATATTTTTTTTCTTTAGACTGGGAAGTTCTTAGTTTAGTAATAATAGAAATGACGAAAGCTTTACAAAACAAAGCCCTTCTTGTATCGAAAAACGGAAACACTGAGTTGGATTTACTAGTCGATGTTCTCACATCAATGGTAAGTGCATCTTTTAAACATTTTCATTTTTCATTTTATCATCATAAACTTTCTCAAAACTATGTAAAAATTCCTATAGCAACTATAAATAAGCAAAAATAAAAACTAAAATATGATCAGAAGAGTTTTAAGGTGGTACAGATAATTTCCACACAGTATTTATTATCAAACATTATTTAAGGCCTACAAATTGCAATAAAAAGAATAACAACTCTCAGAGACCACTATTACACAAAATATGCTCGAAGATCAACAATACACTTATTGCAGTACATAAGAAGATGTAAAATTAATGGGAAAATCCCAGTAGTTGGCTGTATACCATCGGTTAAAAAAACATACAGAAGCTAAGACACTTCACACTTGTATTTTGGTATAAAAACATATAGTTATAACTTTTTAAAAAAGTGTCGTCAAAATTTATGTAGTAGCATAACGTTTTCGATCTGAACAGATCATCCCCAGTGCCTTATATAGTTGAAGCTAACAATAAAGTTGTGGCTGTGACATCCATATATGGGTTTACATCATTCCAAATTTTAATTATGTTGTGAGTCACAACAATAAAGTCTTCAATCCGGATTCCGTCCATAACGAAGCACGGCTGACAACTTAATAATGTTACAAACAGATATCACAACCGCCTTTCAAAATAAGCAAGATTTAATAACATGTATTCGACACTTTATTCCGTTCTACTGCATTGACCAAATTAAAAGAATACAATATTACGGGAAATACATTATCTTTTATAGAACAGTTTCTTTTTATCACCGCTTCAAAGTATTAGTTAACGGAAAAGCTTCCTCAACGTACGTTCAGGAAAATGGGGTACCCCAAGGATCAATTCTAAGTTCCACTTTATTTATAATAACTATTAATGATATTTGCAAAAATATTCACAACCCAGTGAAGTACAACTTATGCTGACGACCTGATTTTATATTGCCTCGGTAAAGATACGTTGACAATTACAAACGTAATCCAAAAAGCAGTAAATGAACTAACTTCTTGGTCTATTAGCTTTGGTATTAATTTCTCTGCTCAAAAATCAAAAGTACTCAAATTCAGTAGAAGAACACGTAGCATATTATTACCTCAAATTACATTAAATGGTACTCCGCTCACAGTAGCTAATGAACACAAGATACTAGGTTTAATTTTTGAAAGTCGACTTACATGGAAAACACAGATTACAAACGTCAAAGGTAGCTGCTTAGCTTGATTAAATCTATTGAAATCTCTAGCAAACCATCACTGGGGAGCTGATCAAGATATCATAATTGAGCTATACCACAGCCACCTTTACTTCCAAGCCATGAAGTAAAAAAGGCAACACCGCATTCTATGACGTCGGTAGTCCGATAATCAGCTGTAAGGTCTACCAGAAAATGAAACTAATTTGAATTTTAGGAAACTGATATTTTGAAAACTTCAATACATTACAGAAATATTTTTAGGGAAATTAAATTAATAAAACCTTATACATACCTAGTAAATATATATAAAGTTTTATTATTATTTAGGTTATATTATCAATAAAATAATCACTAGAGTAAAATTTATTGCACTTAAAATACAGTGTCAAACAGTTAATCTTACAATCAAATGCAGTCAAGAATTTCTTGAAATTTTAAATATTAAGTACTTAAGCATATAAATAACACAATACATTAACACCACATTTAAAAAGATTATTAAAAATACAAAAGATATAAAATTTGTTAAGTAAAAACTTAGTGTAACTATTATGATTAAAAAATTCATCCTAAGAAATCAGACACAATATAAATATGGTTCTAAATTAATCTAATTGAAAATTAAATATTTTACTATTTACTTATAACTTTTGTTGAATTTTCATACTTAGGTATACAAAAGTAGCAATTTTAAATATGAATAGGTTTGTTGTCATATAGACCAAGTTAAAAGAGGTATACATGAAAAATGTGTTGAATGTAACATATCATTTATAACTTATCGATTTAAAATAGCCTATATGCTCAAAAGATTTTTGAATGTAATACTCAAATTTGTTATCACTTATCTAAAAAGCAGATCTAAATGAGAAAGTAAGTTCTCTAATTGTGACCATCTTGTTAATTTACTATATTGTAAATCCATTTCAAATCATTATTACTTAATCTATTCTTACCTACATCGACGATTACACTAAAATTACTGCTAACTATTACACTACATATTACACAAATATTATCACACTTGTGTCCCAACTGAATAATGTTTAAAACATAGAAATATACAGTCACTTGTAATTTTACTTGTCTAGTTTTTCAATGGGATATTATTGTCTAAGTCTAGTTGTCATAATTATGTTATCTCTTGTTCCCTCTTCTTATGCAAAAAGTTTCTTCTGTCTTCGGGATTCCTTCTTTCTTTAGTATGATGAACAGTTACATATGATGGTACTTCAGGAAATATATTAGGAACTGCATTGTCTTTTAATTTGGGAAATATTAACTTTTCAATGTGTACATTTCCATCTTTATCTTCTCATTGTTCAGTCCGCTGAATATCGTCTTCATGAAAATGTTTGGCATATACTACGGAAGATTTGGTAATTGTATAGCCTTCTCTATGAATAGAGCATAACCCAGTATACCTTCTTTGGGGATCTTTGGGAAACAAAAAGTACTTTCTGCCTGTTTCGTTTTTAAAGTACTGGCATAATTGGTTTTGCAACCAGGTACACAACAATGCCTGAGCATCTGTAACAAAAAACAAAAGTATTATTATTGTTGTTTTTAGTTTACATATTTTGTAACGAGAAGCAAAAGTATTATTATTTTCAGTTTGTTTTGTAGGTTATATTTATACTTGCCTTTTAAATTGTCGTTAAGAATCTTCTAAAAGTTCTAAACTGAATGAAATTTCACTTATATTAATCTTTTCTAATTGATTTAAACACAATTTACAAATAAAACATTCGAATAAAGTTAAAAAAACACTAAATTCAACAAACTTTACAAGCCTTCTTATATGAAATGTTAAACAAAACAAACCACAGTCGGACTACCACGCGTTGTTGCCAAATTTCTACTTCATGGTTTGGAAGTAAAGGTGGCTGTGGCAATACATATCTCTCATTCACTCTCGATACAATATTCTGGGTAACATCGATAACCATTGCATTGCGAGGTCTCGTTTATATTCATATCTGACAATTTAGACAAAAAAATTCGTGATAAATTCTTTTGTTTTGACAATTAAAGATCTAATATTTTTACATATTCCAGATTACAGAGAAAATTTACAATCTACCAGAATCTCTTAACGTAAAAGTTTCAAGACCCGATTTTCATGCCACAGTGCTTCTAGCGGTAGTGAATCTAGCTTCCTATCACAACTACCTAGATCAAATACATCAACAAAAAATTGTCCGATGTCTCATCAAATGTTCCAATTCCATCGGCCCGAGAAGTTCGAAACACTGTATAGCCGCATTGACACTTTGTACCTTGGAAATGAGAGAAACGATGGTTAAATGTCTGCCTGAAGTACTGCTTAATTTGTCGAAGATTTCTGCGACTGTGCACATTGGTATTCCAATTTTAGAATTTTTGTCGAGTAAGTATTACATTTGTTATATATTTATATTTATTTTAACGAACAACCTATAGGAGTAACAATAAAACACTGAAAACTTTGTTTTCAAACTTCCACAAAATTTATTTTAACTATTATCACTACAACTGTTTCGGCTGATTGCCTTTCTCAAGTGATCTATTTTGTCTTGGGTTTACAAATTTATGGTCTCTAATGAAATAGGTTGAGGAGGGAAGAACTGTTTGTCTCAAGTTGGTTATTCAGAATTATATTTGTGTTTTTTAATTTGTTGATTTCCATAGATTCTAACAAAGATAGCTTAAGGCCTTTATTTTGAATGTGAAGAATTTTAAATTTGTCATTAAAAGAATGATTATGATCTAGAAGGTGAAGTGCGTATGTCGAATCTGTTTTTCTATTCTTGAAAGCCCTTTTATGTTCTGCTATTCGTTTATCAAAGTTTCTACCAGTTTGACCGATGTAAGTTTTTGGGAAGTCGCCACATTGAAGTTTGTACACACCACTATTTAAGTGTTTTTTTATTTTGGCTCTTGTTATTTTTAATATATTTGCCTAGGTTGTTATTTGTTCGGAAAGCTGGTGTCATTCCTTTCTTTTATTATGTGTTTGACAATTTTTGTTGTTATTTTGCCTGTATATGTAATCGAGCAGAAGGTACTGGGTTTTTTCTCTGGTGGTGGAAATACTAATTTCAGGGCCTTTCTAGTGTAGTTTTTGATTTAACATTTTATTAATTGTTTGTTCGTTGTATCCGTTGTTTACTGCTATGTGCTTAATTATATTTAAATTCTGTCTCAAAGTTGTTTTTTGACATCGGAATTTCTGTTAATCTATGTAACATAACTATGATAAGCTGCCAGTTTATGTTGTGTTGGATGGGATGATGAATTGTGTATAGTCGTGTCAGTATGGGTAGGTTTATGAAATATGGAGAAGTCATGTTTGTTTTGAAGTCTGCTAATTTTTAAATCTAAAAAATTTATGGATTGATTTTGTTCTGTTTCTATTGTAAATTCAATATGACTATGAAGTGAATTAATATACAATAAAAATTGGTCGAGTTGCCTGTTAGTTCCGGTGAAACATACCAGTACGTCGTCTACGTATCTCCACCAATATAAAAACTGTTTGAATACGGGATGTTTTGAAATCTTTGTCTCTAGATGATCCATAAAAATATCTGATAGCAATGGCCTTAGAGGATTACCCATTATAAGTCCTGCACTGAAGATGTAAAATTTCAGATGTAATTATTGGATTTGTATTATTTTGGTCTAAAAGGTTTTTTACTAGAATAAAAGTTTCTGTAGGAGGGATACTAGGAAAAAGATTTTTTACGTCAAATGAAAATTAATCTGGTGTTCCTACAGAAACTTTTATTCTAGTAAAAAACCGTTATTTTAGTAAAAAACCCATAAAATCGGTTAATAATCTAATGTTAAGCAGTGTAGGCTTTCAAGACCGGGTTTTGCAAAGGTACACTGTTGTCTGGGTTTATACGTCGAATTGTAAGTTGAATACACTTGGCGCAAATCGTGCAACTCGGTGATATTTAATTATAAAAATGCACTGCCTATTTACTTATTGACTTCTTTGGTTTGGTTTTCCCCAATATTTTTGTTGCTTTCTCAGTTATTATGTTTTTACATTTTGTCCACAGTTCCTCTACATTTTCCCCCACCTCTCTATACTCTCTCGCAACGGTTTCAATGCGCAGATTATCAACGTTGATTCTGTCTTGTTTCGTGTGTTTATCTTTCTTTAGGTTTGATATTCTTCCTCTGATTTTTGCCATTACAAGAAATTGGTCACTGTCAATGTTTGGGCCTCGGTAGCTTCTGACGTCTATGAGATCGGAAGAGTGCCTTGCATCTATCAGGATGTGATCTATCTGGTTAATGGTTTCGTTATCAGGGGATTTCCATGTTCCTTTGTGTATCATTTTATGGGGAAATCTTGTTCCTCCTACTATCATGTTTTTAGTCTACAGGAAATCACCGAAGAAAAAATTCAATGTAGAATCACTGTGGAACGACTCTACAAGAGAAAGGTGTTCTTCTAATTAGGTGTATAAGCACGAGTGCATGATAGTGAGGGGTACTTTAAGTACATGGCTCATCAAACTAATTAATCTGTGTTCTTCACATTTTCTAGCGTTGGTTTTTTAGGAAGTGGAATGAATATTGATAGCAGCCAGCCTTCTGGTAAAAAGTCAGTCTCGTAGATGTTGTTAAATAGCTTCGTAAGAGCTGTGATTTACTTCTTCGTTTGTTATTTCTGGGCCGTAAGGATTGTTTATTTCAGTCGGACTTCGTGCTGCATCTTCGAATAATTCTTGCATATATTCTTTGCATCTTTGTAATTTGTCTTCAATTGTAGTCAAAATATAGCCTTCAATGTGTACAACTATGCCTTCATTGCGTTGTTTTATGGTGTTCTGTACCTCTTTAATTTTTTTGAGTATATGGAAATCCTACTTGCGTTGTAGTGTTTCAATTTCCGTACATTTTTCCGCCGGCAATGCTTCGTTTGCTCCATTTATCTCCTTTAGTATAGTCTTTTGTATTCATTGTCATTTCTACCTTTTAATTTTCTTCGCTCTTCCATCATCACAAGGACGTCCTAGACTCTTGAAACATAGCGTGCTACCATTGTAAGGACAAACTTTATTTATTTTGACGGTCAACAGATCTTTTTCTTGACAACCCAACTACAGAAAAAGCTATCTTCCTTTGAAATTTGGTTATATCGACGAATTCTCCAAATGTCCTGGACAA